AACTTGCAAAATAGAAAACAACCAAAAAGGTTTATGTAAATGGTCGAAAATTACTACAATTCGGAAATAAAAAATTTAAAAAATTAAAAAAAAATTAAGTACAAAAATTTTTTCCTAAAAAATATATACCTTAAACAGTCCGTCAGAAGTGTGTATCAAAAATTTAAAAATGAGACATGTGTCAACGGTAGTCAACGGGACTCGACTGACAAAGATGTAAGACGGAAAGGAAAGAGAGGATAGGCTATTGAGTGGATTAAAGGGTGGGGAATTTCTTAAGTATTGGTAGATTTGTATCTGGTAATAATTCCGTGTCCTTTTGTTTGTTTAGTCCTGTATTCTGTCTTTTAATATGTAGTATTTCAGAAGTTAGTCTTTCGCTGTAACAAGGTTCTCTGTCTAGTCTGTTGATTTTGTCCCATTTGAAATCATGATTGAATTCCATTCTGTGCTAAGAAATTACCGAGGGAGAACCTGATTTTTTATTGATATCTGCTCTGTGTTCTTTTATTCTAGTCAAATACTTTTTATAATTTAGTCAAAAACTTACATGAATTACTTTACAATAGTATAAACAAACCTAGCAGTTATATAAAAAATAGTTTTAGTTTAGTCAAGAAATTAAACGGAAAACTGATTAATCCAAAGACTTATACCGCTTCTCTAGATGTGGTATCTTTATTCACAAACATATTTATTGAGAATACATTTGATAGCATTAAGAAACGCTGGAATCAGATAAAAGGTCATACATCCATGATTATATACCAATGATATTATTAATATCTACATAGAACGATAAGTTCCTGCAGAAACTCACATGTCAACGGATATGGACAACGTTATGGTCAAAATGTTAATCATTTTGGTAAGCCGCAAACTTCCAGGAAGAAATAATACCGTCATCCGAGTCAGTCGTCTCAACATTCAGTCTGTTGCAATCGTCAGTGTTTAGCAGTTCAGAGATTAAAATCCGGGAATTGCTGAGAGTTTGTAACGCTCGTATTCATAGGCTTCAGAATTTTTAACAACTCTCAGGTAAGTGAGATAGTGAGTAAGACATTTTACTTTAATGCTTAAAATATTGTATATATTTTGTATATTTCATTTTTATTTTGTATATTGCATTTTCTTAATAATAAAAAAAATTATTTTAACAAATATATCGATAAATAAAATTTATATACAAGATTTATTGATTTTAATAAATTATATATATAATAATGTTACAATGCTTTTTCAGGCGCGTGACGCAACTTGATTATACCGCTTTTTGCTTTTTATCTCATAAGCAACTGTTGCACACAATCCACAATCATACGCAAGGATGTTTTCTGAAAATAATCTTGGCAAAGATTATTCCAGCATATCTAAACACGAACTAGAATTGCATGTTTGTAACAACGAGAGAGATATTGACGAAAGTTTGCGAAACATGGTCAAAGAATTTATTCATCCCTACAATATATATATGACGTTTAATCCAGTTGTGAACATAAGTAGAATTGAAAAGTTCCAAGATTTATGTAACAAAGATATAGTAGGCAGACATTTTTCAATTACTTACTTCATAAATCAATTGTATTCTTTTTATTACATGTTTCATGCAATTGCAGATGATGTGGAAACCTATATAAATTTCAGAAAATACAGTCTGCCGATTTTTATCATTCTGGGTCTTTTAGGAAATTGTTTGTCTGCCAGTGTGCTCTTCCGTAAAAAGATGCGTTCTTTCTCGTCCAACATCTATTTGGGCGTGCTAGCAATATGCGACATCGCTTATTCAATAATATTATTCATTGAATGGCTCGTTTTAATGAATATCCATCTAGATAAAAATTATTTGTTTTGGTTGTATTTTTTGGTGGACATTTTGACTTTCTTTTTCGAGTTCATGAGTGTGTGGCTTGTAGTAGTCTTTACCATCGAGCGATATATAGTGACGAAGTATCCGCTTTTACGTCGAGCTTGGTGCACTGTCAAACGAGCAAAAATCATAGTAATCACACTGATTGGATTAGCAATTTTATATACCATTCTACATGTTTTTTTATTTATTGGGCTCAAGTATTATCTAGATGAAGTATCATATTTTGAAAAAAAAGGAATAAATGTCTACGATTTATACAAATATATAAAATTCGAAAAACAAACAGGAGTTAGAAAGATAAGGACCGTTATAGATTCTATTACGCTATTTACTTTACCTGCTCTCGTGATAGTAATCTGCAATACTCTGATAGGATATCACATTTACCAGCAAAATCGTGTTCGCAAAATGTTGATTACAGCGTCCGATTCTTCTAATGAGAGAACTCAGATTTTTAGTGATAAAAAGCTGCAGTATAAAATCACAAGAATGCTAATTCTCGTTTCAAGCATATTTGTAATCTTGAAATTACCTGAACATTACTTTCATTACATTAGTAGTTACGTACGTATCAATCATTTATACTAAAATAATACCGACATAATATACTGTTTATTTACTCTGAAAATGCATTCTGTATATGACAAAAAAATATTAATTAATTTTTCTTTTAAAGTTGGAAATTTTAAAAATAATTTATACTGTTTAATTTTTACATTATGAATGAAATTATACAATAGTTTTTTTATATTAGATATTCTCTCGTAAGAAAATGGATGCATTGAAATACGATATGTTATTATTAATGGCTATATAAAACAAAAATGACAATAATAATTTTTTCAGATACCTAAATATGTCAATTTGCTTGTTATGTACATAATATTCAAGTTATTAGACACAGCACATTACAGTATAAATTTTGTTCTCTACTGCGCAACGGGACAAACTTTTCGCAGAGAACTAATCCACATGTTTACAAAACGTAAAAATGTAAGCAAAAACAAAAATGAAGAAAATGTATAATTATAAGTAACAGTATGTTTGATGTTCAATTATGCAGTCATAATAAGGTAATATAACCATAATTAAACACAGCGTTCTATACTGAAAATATAATCGATAAATTTACAAAATTAGATGTAAAAATGACATGATAAATAACAGAAATTTACTAAATATATATTGCAAATTTACATAATTTTATACATTTTATACTAGTATATTTCCATTTAGCGGCGCACTCAGGATATTTTTTTCAGGGGGGTGGGGGGTTTAAAATTTACACACAAAATTAAACAGTATGACCAAAAATCAGGATAATTTTGTATTGCACACTAAAAAATATAAAAATGTTACATTGTTTAATAAAAAATAAAATTTATTTTTATAGTAGCATAATTATAAATTAATATCAAGTTTTTTTGCTTTTCTATAAATAATCAGATTAACTGGATTGCTTAAATAATTAGAAAATTTGTCTATATATATGGCTGCTAGATGTTTCTTAAGTAACTTATTTAAATCCTTCCACAATATGAATATCTTAAAGTACAATAGATATTATAGGTATACGTTCGAACAGCAGTATAATTGAAGAAGCTGTCATAATTATTTGTGTGCAAGAATATTGATGTAAATTTTGAATTATTAAAATTGTGATTATAATTAATAACAGACAAAAAATACAAATATTTGAACGCATTTTATTTAACTACAGATTTTTTACTTTTTGCTGTTAAGTTAATAAAAAAATAAAGTATATTAATTAAATTTTGGGGAGTTTTAACCTCCCCCCCCCCACCATGAGTGGGCCACTGTTTTCATTATTTATCGTGTAATTTTTACATCTTTGTTGTGTAAATTTTCCGACTTTTGTCAGTGTGCATACTTATATTACATTAATAAAATTCTTTTACTATAATTGTTATATGAGTTTAATAATTAATTGAATAAAAGGAAAA